TCGGTCATCGAGCTGCGCGCAAGGTTACAAAGATTCGGTCCGATTTGGAACGAGTTCAACGGAATTCAAGGTAGGATCGAAGCATTAGATAATAGCGATCACGATGGGGCGAATCCTCATGAGGAGGAAAGAAGTTCGTTCGAAAGTAAATATTTTGCGATTGTTACTAAATTGGAAACGCTCATAGAGAATAGGCAGAGAATAGAACAGACTCCTCATACGTTACAGAATCTCCACCAATCAAGAGAGAGCACGCCGATTATTCAGGGACCAACTTCCACAAATGATTCCTTGAAATTACCTCGTATAACCTTACCCACATTTGCAGGCAAATATGACGAGTGGACAGCCTTCCATAACATGTTTCACAGTATGATTCATCAAAATGCTGCGCTACCGGACGTCCAAAAGATGCAATATTTGGTGTCAGCGCTAAAGGACGAGGCATACGACATAATCAGTTCGCTTGAGCCTTCCGCAGAAAATTACAGGGAAGCATGGCAAATGCTCATCGAAAGGTATGACGATCCTGGTTTTATTATCAGCAAGCACGTAAAAGCGTTATTCGAGCTTCCGCACATGAATAAAGACAATCATGCTGTCTTGAGAAAAATCCTGGATACTGTATTAAAACACATGCGAGCACTTAAAGCTTTGAAGAGACCAATAGAGCAATGGGATGACTTGATGCTACACATAGTTACAACTCGGTTAGATCAAACGACTGCTAGAGAATGGGAAACAACGATAGAAAGAGGTAGTATTCCTTCGTTTAAGCAACTTATCGCATTTTTAACTCAACGTTGCAGGGCGTTGGAGGCATCATCAAGAGATCAGAGCACACCAGGCTCTAATATCTCGAGAGAAAAATCAGTGCAGAGTAAGAAGATTACAGCACATGTAGCTACCACGAAGAACAGTTGTGCGTATTGTCGTCAGGAAACACACAATATTTACAGATGCAAGGATTTCTTAGCATTACAAGTGGAACAGCGAATAAAGGAAGCGAAAGCTCGCAGAATGTGCTTGAATTGTCTGAAGAGTGCTACGCATCAAGCTAAAGAATGCTCAGCTGGCGAATGTCGTAAATGCAGCAAGCGGCATAATACGCTACTGCATTTCGAGCAGGCTGCCAAAGGCGCACCGGATGCAAATGCAAAGTCAATCGAATCCCATAGCGAAGAAATTACAAAATCAACCAGCATAAGCTGTGCATCAGTGGATCAAGCGCAGCAAGTTCTATTGGCAACTGCGTTGATAAATGTGCAGGATGGGAAAGGTGAAATCAGATCCGTCAGAGCGTTACTGGATAATGGCTCTCAGTCATGCTTCATTACGAGTGACTGTTGTAAGGAGCTGGGACTTAAGCTGAGCGCAACAAGCGTACCAATTTACGGATTGACCCAGCAGCTCACTCGAGTCAGGAATTCAGCAAGAATTATTATACAATCCAGAATCACTGGATTCAAAAGAGCAATAGACTGCCTAGTAGTCGAGAAAATTACTCAGGATTTACCCAGCAATGTAGTGGATAGTGCGCGCCTACGAATCCCAAAGGGCATTCAACTGGCTGATCCACAATTTGATAGACCCTCGAAAATCGACATGCTGCTTGGAGCCGAGATATTCTTTGATTTATTAGTCGTCGGCACTGTCAAATTGGCAAAGAATCAACCCACGTGGCAAAACACACTCTTAGGTTGGATTGTCTCAGGGAAGTGCACCGATTCAAGGCAACTATCATCAGCAGCTGCCTGCAACGTGGCCACAACTGAACCGTTGAATACAGCCATTACAAGATTCTGGCAAATTGAGAGCTGCGAGAGAAAGCATACGCGCACACCTGAGGAACGCTTATGTGAAGAACATTTCATGAAGACGCACAAAAGGAAGCAAGACGGAAGATTCGTAGTGTCACTCCCAGTCAAGGAGAATCAAATGAAACGATTGGGAGACTCGAGAGAAATCGCTAATCAGCGGTTCAAGAGTTTGGAACGACGATTCAAACGCGACCCACAGCTTCAAGTGGAGTACAGTAAATTTATGCACGAGTATCTGGTAATGGAACATATGCGCGAACTTCCTGAACCAGTTGACAATACATGGCCGCATTTTTACATGCCACATCATTGCGTCGTCAAGGAAGCCAGCAGCACAACCAAGTTGAGAGTTGTTTTTAATGCTTCCAGCAAAACAACCACCGGAATCTCATTAAATGACGTCTTAATGATAGGACCCGTTCTTCAACAAGAAAGTGTTGCAATACTTTTGCGATTCCGCACCTACAAGTATGCGTTAACATCCGATATAGAGA